TGGGGGGGGCACCCCAAAAGAAGGGCAGGGACATCCCAGAGCCACCACGGACACCTCGGCCACCACTTCTCGACGAGGTCCAGCAGCTCCTGGAGAACGTGTGGCTCCTGCCCAGAGCTACACCCACCCCCCCAGCCCAGAGAAGGGCAGAGCCCCCCCAAATCCTGTCATGTTTTGGGGTTCCAAGGGCACCCACATGTGCCAAGGGCTGGGCAGGGGCTCCAGGACCTGGTGGGTGGCACCAGGGTGGGCTCTGTCTCAGGTGACAGAGCTGAGAAGTCACCAGGGGCAGCTGCTGGGGGAGCTCAGAGGAAGAGAATTAACGAGGCTCGTTAATTAACAGGCTTAGTGTAACACCAAAGCTGGATCAGGGCAGCTGGAGCAGGACCATGGGGCTTCTCCCTGGGGGGCTGGGGGGGTTGTTTGTTGGCCCCCGGCCACCGAGGTCCCCACGTGGGCTCTACCCGAAGCCACCCCATGGCCATGGGCCACCTGGGACCGCTGGGCAGCAGCTGCTGGGGGAGCTCAGAGGAAGAGAATTAACGAGGCTCGTTAATTAACAGGCTTAGTGTAACACCAAAGCTGGATCAGGGCAGCTGGAGCAGGACCATGGGGCTTCTCCCTGGGGGGCTGGGGGGGTTGTTTGTTGGCCCCCGGCCACCGAGGTCCCCACGTGGGCTCTACCCGAAGCCACCCCATGGCCATGGGCCACCTGGGACCACTGGGCACGAGCCACAGAGGGTTCTCCCCTGCCCCACGGCCGGTGGCTTCCTGAGATGGGAGCCCCATCCCAGTTAAAAAGCCACAAGGGGAACTGGGTGACCCACTGGTGACGCTGGGGGGAAAGGTGAGGAAGGTTGTGGGGGAAACCACGGCCACCAGCCTCTTCCTCCAAGTGGCCAAAGGGTTGGGGTCCATCAAAAGGATGGGGGTCACCTCGAGGGGCTTATTCTGTTCAGTCAGGGGTGCTCTGAGGACCTTTTTCCTCTTGGGGGTGTCAAAATTCGGAGAAAACGAAGGAAAATCCCAGTTCCAACCTTTCTGACCACCCTTTTGCCATCACCCTCCCAGTTGGCCTCACTGGGGAGCGGAGGTGACACCGTGTGGGACAAGTTTCCATCCCTGGACCCCCCAGAGAGGCTGGGGGAGATTTTTTGGGTGCACTTTGCTCTTTCTGGTTTATTTCCCTCCCCTCCTCCCTCGGTCCGGGCGGGCTGAGGACACACGGAGCCTGGGATTATCCCACTTTCCCCTGGCACCACCAGGAGCTCCCAAACCCTCCCAGTAAAACCCATTGGGATCAACCTAACGAGCTGGTTTAGGGCAGCGATCCTTTAAGCCGTGGCAAGAATTCCAGGAGGAAATCCAGACCTGGGGACACCACGGAGCAGCCGCTGTCTCCAGGGCTCTTCTTCCACGCCCATGGTCTACAACCCTCCCCCAAAGCTCTGGAGAAGTTTCCACCTTCTCCCTTTCCAGGGATTTGGGAAAATTGGGGGAGCCCAAAGGGGCAGGAAGGTTTGGGGACACCCAGGAAACCTCTCTGCTTTCTTCTCCACCCCCCTGGAGGTTCCTGGGGGAGCGTTACTCACTCAGGATGTTCAACACGGAATCTTTCCGGAACATGACGAGGTTGCCCATCATGACGTGACACACCAGTTCCTGCAACTGGGAAGAGGGGAGAAAATGGGGTTTAGTGGGATGCCCACCCTCTGACACCGGGGACCACCGGAGAAGAAGCAGAGAAGGTGCTGCTCTGCCAACATGAAGAGCAGGGAGCCAACAGGGGGGTCCTGGAGACCCCCACCCCGAGGTGGTGAAGCCACTCCAGGGAGAGGCAGCTGCTGGGATGGACTGGGAAGAGGAGAAGAAGACATGAGATGTTACTGGAACGGAGAGAAGATCCCTAGAGGGGCCAGGGGGATGGTGTCTCCCAGTTTGGAGAGCAAAGTGGGCCCAGACAGACCAGTTCAGCACTGGGGACCTGGCTCCTTCTGCTCCAGGAGCTCTTTTTTTGATGGATGCACAAAGGCCACCGGGGGGGGTGGCAGGGGGGAGGGCTCGGTAGCCAACTGGGAAAGCTCTGACAATCCCAGACCTCTTTACTGGGGGGTCTGGAGCGTTCCTGGGCTGCAGGACAGGAGCTGACACTACCCAGACACCGGGAGATTCCTCCACTGACTCATCCCCTTCAGCCCTGGGAGAGGTGGAAGCGGAGAGAGGGGGGGGGGACAGGACCCCCAAGGAGCTGGAGACCACCCTGTTCCTCGTTCCTGTGCTGCCAGATCACATTTTGGGTCTCAAAATGCACACTCTGGGTGCAGTGGAGATGCAGGGAGCCCAAAACCAGGCTGAGCTGCCCCATCTCTGCCCCACGGCTCGACTCACCCCCCACGTGGGGCCGAAGCAGCCAGAGCATCGCGGGGAAACAGCTGAAGAATAACAGGAAGGAACGAAGGAATTGGAGGAGGGAGGGGAGAGGAAACGCTACGGAGACCAAAAAAAACCCACTTTGCATTTTTAGAGCAATAAAGAAGCAGAGAAGGTGCTGCTCTGCCAACATGAAGAGCAGGGAGCCAACAGGGGGGTCCTGGAGACCCCCACCCCGAGGTGGTGAAACCACTCCAGGGAGAGGCAGCTGCTGGGATGGACTGGGAAGAGGAGAAGAAGACATGAGATGTTACTGGAACGGAGAGAAGATCCCTAGAGGGGCCAGGGGGATGGTGTCTCCCAGTTTGGAGAGCAAAGTGGGCCCAGACAGACCAGTTCAGCACTGGGGACCTGGCTCCTTCTGCTCCAGGAGCTCTTTTTTTGATGGATGCACAAAGGCCACCGGGGGGGGTGGCAGGGGGGAGGGCTCGGTAGCCAACTGGGAAAGCTCTGACAATCCCAGACCTCTTTACTGGGGGGTCTGGAGCGTTCCTGGGCTGCAGGACAGGAGCTGACACTACCCAGACACCGGGAGATTCCTCCACTGACTCATCCCCTTCAGCCCTGGGAGAGGTGGAAGCGGAGAGAGGGGGGGGGGACAGGACCCCCAAGGAGCTGGAGACCACCCTGTTCCTCGTTCCTGTGCTGCCAGATCACATTTTGGGTCTCAAAATGCACACTCTGGGTGCAGTGGAGATGCAGGGAGCCCAAAACCAGGCTGAGCTGCCCCATCTCTGCCCCACGGCTCGACTCACCCCCCACGTGGGGCCGAAGCAGCCAGAGCATCGCGGGGAAACAGCTGAAGAATAACAGGAAGGAACGAAGGAATTGGAGGAGGGGGGGGGGGGGGGGGGGTCAGGGCATCGTGACTCAAACCTTTCCTGTCCCCAACCCGGGGACTTCGCCAAGGAAAACTTGCTGGCGAAGGCGTTCCTGGCCCCCAAGCAGCTGGGAAAAATATTAAATAAATAAATTTTTTTTGTTTTTAAAGAAAAAAAAAAAAGGCTCGACTGGTCAGGAATGGGGTATAAATAGGGCGAGTTTCAAAGGGTTATCAGCAGATCATGCTCCAGCCCAGCCCCAGACGGCAGAAACACGCAGCCCCAGCATTCTTCCCCGTGCCCACCTCCCCCCCCCGGCTATTTTTGGGTTGCTCAGGGCAACTTCAGGGTGACCACGGGGAGAGGTTCCTTCCAAGGAGGCTTTTAACGAGGAATTCCCTTCGTTAGCCCCCTGAGCCTCCACCGGGAGGGGAAGGAGTTGGGGGCGATCTCAGCCCTTGCACCTTCTCTCCAGCACACGTGGACTTGGGGACATCACCCGTGGTGACATCACCCGTGGTGACACTGCCCGTGGCTCCACAGCTCCAAGAGTTGGGGAGTTGGACTAGATGATCTCTTCCAACTCGAAAAATTCAGTGAAGAACCTCCCTGCCCAAGGGTTTATTATCCATAAATGATTATCATCCATCGCTGGCCGCGGCGATGCTTCTTGCCAAGTCCCAGAGGGATCAGGACAAACCCAAACACGTCCCCTCCCGGGTCCCTGCTGCGACTCGGTGTCCCAGAGATGTCCCTCAAGACCATGATTCAGCCTCCTGACCCCACACCACCACGAGGGAAAGAGACACTGAGAGGTCTTAGGGCTCTTCTTCCCAAAGCCTCACTCAAGAGTGGGGGGCAAAGAGGGCTAAGGAAGCCCAAGAGCCGCCCCACGGCCTTGGTGGAATGCTCCTCCTGGATGGATGGATGGATGGTGCTCCTCCTGGATGGAGCTCCCTCAAGACCATGATTCAGCCTCCTGACCCCACACCACCACGAGGGAAAGAGACACTGAGAGGTCTTAGGGCTCTTCTTCCCAAAGCCTCACTCAAGAGTGGGGGGCAAAGAGGGCTAAGGAAGCCCAAGAGCCGCCCCACGGCCTTGGTGGAATGCTCCTCCTGGATGGATGGATGGATGGTGCTCCTCCTGGATGGAGCTCCCTCAAGACCATGATTCAGCCTCCTGACCCCACACCACCACGAGGGAAAGAGACACTGAGAGGTCTTAGGGCTCTTCTTCCCAAAGCCTCACTCAAGAGTGGGGGCAAGGAGGGCTAAGGAAGCCCAAGAGCCGCCCCACGTCCTTGGTGGAATGCTCCTCCTGGATGGATGGATGGATGGTGCTCCTCCTGGATGGAGCTCCCTCAAGTCCCTGGTGGGATGCTCCTCCTGGATGGATGGATGGATGGTGCTCCTCCTGGATGGAGCTCCCTCAAGACCACGATTCAGCCTCCTGACCCCACACCACCACGAGGGAAAGAGACACCCAGAAGTTTTGGGGCTCTTCTTCCCAAAGCCTCACTCAAGAGTGGAGAGCAAAGAGGGCTAAGGAAGCCCAAGAGCCGCCCCACGTCCCTGGTGGGATGCTCCTCCTGGATGGATGGATGGATGGATGGATGGTGCTCCTCCTGGATGGAGCTCCCTCAAGACCTCGATTCAGCCTCCTGACCCCACACCACCACGAGGGAAAGAGACACCCAGAGGTTTTAGGGCTCTTCTTCCCAAAGCCTTACTCAAGAGTGGGGGGCAAGGAGGCCTAAGGAAGCCCAAGAGCCGCCCCACGTCCCTGGTGGGATGCTCCTCCTGGATGGATGGATGGATGGATGGATGGATGGATGGATGGATGGATGGAGCATTTCAGGTTTAAACCACCTGGGAAGGGGGGGAAAGTGGTGCCAACTTGAAAAATTTGCTGCCTCCCACCCCAACAGCCCCCTCTCTTCCTCACCTGGAAGGAATCTATGACGGCTACGATCATGTTGAGCAGCTCCCCGCTCCGGAGGGTCTCGTCTGGGAACTGGAAAAGGTAGGAAAAACAAAGGTGAAGGGTTTGGAAAAGGACAGGAAGGTGGTGAAAACCTCCCGTTTCCAGGAGCAAAACTCCTCCTCAGTTCAGGTTCCACACACACACACAGCTTCCTCCTCCTCCTCCTCCTTGCGGCTTCACCGAGGCTTGGACCAGAACCGGTACTGGTTCCTAACTGGAATGTGGGCAAGTGGTTGAGTGGGAAAAGGAGCTGAGAAAGCACCAGAGGAGGGTTGAGAGGCTGTTTCCTGCCCTCATTCCCTGCTCCAATAATGCCCAGCACATCCCTGAGATGATCCCACCAACTCTCCGCAGCCAGCCCCGAGCCGTTAAAATTCCCCCATTTTTTCCCCCCCTCCCCTACTCCTTGCTAGATTTTTTGGCTGGCCGAGCACAAGGAAATAAATAAATAAGAAAGAAAAAAATATACAAAATAAATCAACACCCTGGGCCAGAAAAAAAAAAAAATAAAATAAATCAACACCCTGGGCCAAAAAAGCCAGGAAAATTGGCTGCAAGGAGTGGTGGCTGCAGCGTTTGGATGGGTCTGGCCAGACGTGCTGCTCTTGGGGACGTTCTGCTGGTCACGACGCCCACGGGGGCTCCAACAGCCTGACCCCTTCCCCTTCCCTCTTTTTTGGGGGGCAGAGTGTTAAATCCAGCTGCTGGAGACACCCCATGGGATGCAGTGTGGGGTTTTTTTTGCCTTCCCCCTCCCCAGGTTCTCTCCCTGAGCCCCTTTCCCCACCGAAGCCCCCGAGAAGCTGTTGGGGAGGAACGGTCCCAACGTCCAGCAGATGTTCCTGCTGAACCAGCCAGGAAGGAGGGAGGAACGGGGCCAACTCATCCCTCCCGGGGAATTTGAGGAAAGTACAAGCAGAACCATGACCCCTCCGTCTCCTCGGAGCGCCCCGGGTCACCCTTCCCTCCTCTCCAACCCCCTGGATGCTCCTCAGAAGCACCTTTTCCACCCCGTAAATATTTCAAATAAAAGGCTGGAGCCCGCACTGGGCTGCCAGGGAGCTCGAGGGCATCCCAGAATCCAAGATCCAGGCAAACTGAGTGAACTGGGACCAATCTGGGACCTGACTGGTGCAGAAGCTTGGCTCCCCAGCTCCGAACGTGCTCCCAGTGAAGTCCAGCTGGCTCCACCTCAGCACCGAGCGCTCAAAGTCATAAAACCTCTCATCGAACCCAAGAATTTGTTCTCAGAGCTGCTTCCCCCAGGCTTAGACACGTCCACTCGGAGCCTTCTCCTCTCCAGAAGAGCAAACCAGTTTAACCAGAAAGCACAGATAACACCGTGCTGGGAGCTGAGGACATGCCTGAGGTGGATCTGGGGCTGCAAGGTTGGTACCTTCACCATCCATGGAGCCCATCAGGCTTTAGTGGGGCCATCAACAGGATGGGAGCTGAGGATCCATCTCCACGGGGACCATCCCTGGTCTAATGGGCCACCTCCCACCAGCCCAGGTTGCTCCAAGGTCACCTTGGTGCACAGATGCTCTTTCCAAAGATTTTGGGTCCCATCCCTGGTCTAATGGGCCACCTCCCACCAGCCCAGGTTTCTCCAAGGTCATCTTGGTGCACAGATGCTCTTCCCAAAGACTTTGGGTCCCCAAATCATGGAATCGTGGAATGGTTTGGGTTAGAAGGGACCTTGAAGATCATGCAGTTCCATCCAGGGCCACCTCCCACCAGCCCAGGTTGCTCCAAGCCCCCTCCAACCTGCCCTTGAACCCCTCCAGGGATGGGGCAGCCACAGCTTCTTGGGGCAACCTGGGCCAGGCTCTCACCACCCTCAAAATAAACAAGTTCTTCCCAAAATCTAACCTCAATCTCTTGTTTTTCACCTTAAAACCCTCCCTCCTCCTCCCATCACTCCTCTCCCTCATCAAGAGTCCCCCCCCCAGCTTTCCTGGAGCCCCTTGAGGGACTGGAAGGGGCTCCAAGGTCTCCCTGGAGCCTTCTCTTCTCCAGGCTGAACCCCCCAACTCTCTCAGCCCCCCCTCCCAGCAGAGGGGCTCCAGCCCTCCCAGCATCTCCGGGGCCTCCTCTGGCCCCATCCAACAGCTCCGTGTCCTTCTGATGGTGGTGGCCCCAGAACTGGAGGCAGCACTGGGGGGCTTCTCCCCAGCATGGAGAACCTTCTCTTGCCCTGCTGGCCATGGGGCTGGTGATGCTCTCCATCCATTCTCCACCCAGCCTGGATTTGTGCCGGGGATTGCCCCACAGCTCAGATCCAAACCAGTTCAGCCCCAGTTGGATGCCCTGTGCCCCCCCACCACCCCCAAACTGGGCTGGCAGGGCCCTTACCTCGGTGTAAATGGAAGGGGTGAGGTAGCAGAGCAGCCGCACGTCGTCTTCCTGGCAGGCCTTCATGTCCATCATGAGACACGTGTGCAGGTCCCCCAGCTGCGTGGCCTGGGCAAAGGACTCGTAGAGGTTCATCTTCCCGGCCGCGGCTTTGCTGGAAGGAGGAAGAGAGAGGAGAGAACCAGGTGAGAGAGGAGAAAACCAGGTGAGAGAGGCGCAGTTCCATCCAGGGCCACCTCCCACCAGCCCAGGTTGCTCCAAGCCCCCTCCAACCTGCCCTTGAACCCCTCCAGGGATGGGGCAGCCACAGCTTCTTGGGGCAACCTGGGCCAGGCTCTCACCACCCTCAAAATAAACAAGTTCTTCCCAAAATCTAACCTCAATCTCTTGTTTTTCACCTTAAAACCCTCCCTCCTCCTCCCATCACTCCTCTCCCTCATCAAGAGTCCCCCCCCCAGCTTTCCTGGAGCCCCTTGAGGGACTGGAAGGGGCTCCAAGGTCTCCCTGGAGCCTTCTCTTCTCCAGGCTGAACCCCCCAACTCTCTCAGCCCCCCCTCCCAGCAGAGGGGCTCCAGCCCTCCCAGCATCTCCGGGGCCTCCTCTGGCCCCATCCAACAGCTCCGTGTCCTTCTGATGGTGGTGGCCCCAGAACTGGAGGCAGCACTGGGGGGCTTCTCCCCAGCATGGAGAACCTTCTCTTGCCCTGCTGGCCATGGGGCTGGTGATGCTCTCCATCCATTCTCCACCCAGCCTGGATTTGTGCCGGGGATTGCCCCACAGCTCAGATCCAAACCAGTTCAGCCCCAGTTGGATGCCCTGTGCCCCCCCACCACCCCCAAACTGGGCTGGCAGGGCCCTTACCTCGGTGTAAATGGAAGGGGTGAGGTAGCAGAGCAGCCGCACGTCGTCTTCCTGGCAGGCCTTCATGTCCATCATGAGACACGTGTGCAGGTCCCCCAGCTGCGTGGCCTGGGCAAAGGACTCGTAGAGGTTCATCTTCCCGGCCGCGGCTTTGCTGGAAGGAGGAAGAGAGAGGAGAGAACCAGGTGAGAGAGGAGAAAACCAGGTGAGAGAGGCTGGACAGGCTGGATGGATGGGCCAAGACCAACAGGATGAGGTTCAACAAGGCCAAGTGCCGGGTCCTGCTCTTGGGTCCCACCAACCCCATGGACTCTCCAGGCTTGGGGGATGAGTGGCTGGAGCTGCCTGGCAGAAGAGGACCTGGGGGTGTTGGTGGCCTGTGGGCTGAACAGGAGCCAGCAGTGTGCCCAGGTGGCCAAGAAGGCCACCAGCATCCTGGCTTGGATCAGGAACAGTGTGGGGAGTAGGACTCAGGAGGTGATGGTCCCCCTGGACTGGGCACTGGTGAGGCCTCACCTCAAGGCCTGCATCCAGTTTTGGGCCCCCTACCATAAAAAAAGGCATTGAGGTGCTGGAGTGGGTCCAGAGAAGGGCAACAAAGCTGGTGAGGGGTCTGGAGGGGTCTTCTCTTATGAGGAGAGGCTGAGGGAGCTGGGGGTGTTCAGCCTGGAGAAGAGGAGGCTGAGGGGAGACCTTCTTGCTCTCTCCAACTCCCTGAAAGGAGGGTGTAGAGAGGTGGGGGTCGGTCTCTTCTCCCAAGTCACAGGCGACAGGACAAGAGGAAATGGCCTCAAGTTGCCCCAGGGGAGGTTCAGGCTGGATATTAGGAATTTTTTTTCCACCAAAAGGGTTATCAGATGTTGGGATGGGCTGCCCAGGGAGGTGGTTGAGGCCCCATCCCTGGAGGTGTTCAAAAGATGGGTTGATGTAGTGCTGGGAGGGATGGTTTAGTGATGGTGTTGCTTTTTGTTTGTTGTGTGGGGGTCTAGTTTTGTCAAAATTAGGTTGACGGTTGGACAAGATGATCTTTAAGGTCCCTTCCAACCTAGAAGATTCTGGGATTCTGAGAGAGGAGAGAACCAGGAGAGAGAGGAGAGAACCAGCCCCACATCCCCCCAGCGAGGGCTGGGGGTGGTGGAAACGACACCGAGCTGTCTCTTGGAGGCAGCAGAAGCCAAGATGAAGCTTGGACACCTCCCCACAGCCCCCTCCCAACCCCAAGCCCTACCTGGCTTTTAAATAGTAGAGAAGGTGGTAACCAATCTTGGGTTGCTTCTGGTAGAGCTCCGACAGGAGATCCAGCAGCAGCGAGAATCCACTGTTGTCCTCCTGCATCTGGCAGAGGTTCCTTGGGGAGCAGGGGATGGGGAGGCAGATATTTTAGGGGGGAGGCAGATATTTTAGGGGGGATTAACACACACGAGCTCCTCCGTTAACGAGGAGGACGGACATCTTGCAGGTCTTGGCCACAGGGGCCACCTCTCCCACCCCTGAGGGACCTGCAGCAACGAAGGGCTTGGGCCAGAGCAAACTCTGGTGGCCCAGGGACCTCCATAAATCGCCACAAGCTGCAATTTTTCTGTATTTTGAAGCCTTTCTACTAAACAAACGGCCACACAGCCAGAAGGAAGCAATAAACTCTTCTGATTCTGGGATCAGCCCTTGGGGTGGGGGTGGAATTAGACCCAAGGAGTGAAGAAGAAAACCCTAATTAGATCATTTCAGACTTTTCAGAGCAGACATACCTAAATATTAGGTAGAGAGGTTTCCCCACCGACTCCTCCAGAGACCTACAGGACAAACACAGGGGTCAGAGCTCCACGTTTCTTTTTCTGCCCATTTTTTCTTTCCTTCCCTCTTTTTCCTCAGCGACAGGAGGGGGGAAAAAGCCCTGGGGCTTGCTCACTGTGGTCCTCGGGCCACCAAAGGTCAGCCCTGGTTAAGGAGGACACAGCAACCATCCCCCTGACAGAACCCAGAAGCTCCCACTCCATTCCCATTTTGTTTGTTCCAACAAAATCCTGGAGGAGGAATGTTCAGGGCTGGTTTCTACAGGGATGGATGGAATATTCAGGACCTGATGTGTCCTGCTCGGACAAGAAGCCACCAGAAGCCAACAGACACAAGGATCTGAGGTTGTAGGTTCTCCCCACACTTGTGGGGAGGAGAAAGATGGTCTCCTTCCAGCCTTGGATGTGACCAGCTCCGGGCTGACCGCTTGTGAACCCTGGGTTGCTTCACTGGGGAAGCTGTTGGCTTCAGCACAGCCGGCTGAAAGCGCTGAATATTTTACAGGGAAAAGCCCAAGTGAAAGGATGAGACGCCCAAAAAAAACCCATTTAAAAAAAAAAAAAAAATAAAATAGCCTCCTTACTCCTCCGTGATTTCTTCTGGCAAAACCTCCCCACGGAAATGAGCCTTAAATAGCTCCTGGAGGCAGGAGGCGAGCACCGATAACTGCTCCGAGTCGAAATCCTCCTGGTAAGAGAGAGAAAAAGAAGGAATGAGAGGAGAAAACACAAGCTCAGACCCTTCCTGGGGCTGGAAGGGACAAGAACAGAGTCTCTGCTGTTGGGGATGGACCCCGAGCTGCTCAGGACCCATTTTCCTGCTAAATTGCAGCTTCAGGAGCCGGTCCATCGACGAGACAAGCCCTTAATTGATGTCTGGCTCTGAACCACTTCACAATCGCTGTGGTCCACTTATCCAGCAATTCACTGAGCTCAGCCCTCCCCCAAAAAAACCACTTTTGGGGACCCAAAAACCACTTGGAAACGAGGATTTACAGCCTGACCCACGTCCCCGGAGAGAGGAGAAGCGGCTCTCGGCCGCTAAAAGGCCACTTGACTCCAAAGGGAGTTGATTAGAGGCAGGAGATGTGGTTCCCCGTCAACACTCAGCTCCTGGAAAACATCTGCAGCTCTTCTGCTGGGCAGGGTTGGCTGCAGCCCCCCCCCATTGCCCCCCCCAAGCACAAACCCCAAAGCTCAGGAGCATCCCAGATGCGTAGAAGCCCCCCAGAAGCTCTGCAGACCCTACAGCAGCCGTGCGGGGTCAAAATGGGAGTGTCTCCCACCCAGGATCCCACCTGACAGCACCCACTGGGGATATTTAGGGGTGAATATGTGCCCAGGTGGCCAAGAAGGTCACCAGTGTGGCTTGTGTTGAGCACCCACTGGGGATATTTAGGGGTGAATACGTGCCCAGGTGGCCAAGAAGGTCACCAGCGTGGCTTGTGTCAGGAACAGTGTGGCCAGAAGGGCTGGGGCAGTGATGGTCCCACTGGATTGAGCACTGGTGAGGTCCCACCTTGAGGGTTGGGGCCAGTTTGGGGCTCCTCACAACAAAAAAAAAAAGGTATTGAGGGGCTGGAGTGTGTCCAGAGAAGGGCAACGGAGCTGGGGAGGGGGCTGGAGACCAAGGAGAAAGGTTTGGAGACCAAGGAGAAAGGTCTGGAGACCAAGGAGAAAGGTCTGAAGAAGTTGTGAGGAGCATCTGAGGGAGCTGGGGGGGTTCAGCCTGGAGAAAAGGAGCCTGAGGGGAGACCTTCTCGCTCTCCAACTCCCTGAAAGGAGGGTGTTGTCAGGGGGGGGTCGGTCTCTTCTCCCAATGGGACAAGAGGAAACGGCCTCAAGTTGCTCCAGGGGAGGTTTAGGATGGAGATTGGGGAAAATTCCTTCATGGAAAGGGTTGTGAAGCCTTGGAAGAGGCTGCCCAGGGACGTGGTGGGGGTCACCATCCCTGGAGGGATTTAAAAGCCGGGCAGACGTGGTGCTGAGGGACACGGGTTGGTGATGGGTCTGTTGGTGGTGGGTTTGTCAGCGTTGGGTTGATGGTTGGACTGGAAGATCTGAAAGGTCCCTCCCAACCTGGCCAATTGTATGATTCTACAAAACAGAGCGTGGAAGGAGCTTCCAGATCCTTCCAGCTGAAGTTTGGGGCTGCTTTTAAGCCCCCTCCTGCCCCAGGGGGTTTTTAAGAGCCGGGACGAGGGCGCTGCTCCCTGGGTCCTGTTACCTCCAACACTTGATCCACGATTTCCTGCATGACCTCACACTGAGCTTCCGTATCGCTGGAGCACAGAAAAACAAGAGGAAATCCAAGTTACGTAGGAAGATAGAGCCGGAGAAAGGACTAAGGAGCTTTGTGCTGAGCTGGTTTTACTCAGGAACCCCCCCAAGAAAGTAAAATTGGGGGTTGGGGGGCTCTGCTTTGTGCTGGTGCCAGGTTTAAAGGATGGCACGACCCCAAAAATAGGTTGCAGAGCCCCAAAAGGTGGGGGAAAACGCTTCCAGCGGCGCCCCGAGGTTGTCTGCAGTGAGACAGGCAAATTAAATGCCTAAAAGCCCAGGATTAAATGCACTTAGAGCACATCGAGACATAAATTACGTTAAATCAACCCGCTGCGCCAAGGTCTGCACAGAGAGAGCTTTTTATAAACCTCCTTTAGATGGAGGTAATTCCAAGGTCCCTAAAAAAATCAAAGCGGGGAGAGGGGGGAGCCCAGGGAACAGGGGGAATAGCTGTGTTTTGGGGGGAAAAGGGGGGGTTTGTGCAGAGATGTCCTGACACCCCCCTCCCGGCAGCCACAACCCCCCCTCCTTGATGAGAGGGAGGAAACTCAGAGCTTTTGGCCTTCCCCGTCCAGGGAAACGCCGTAACCCCCAGCAAATCGCTGCTCGAGACGGCTCCGAGGACAAATCACCAGGCTCTTAACCCAAAAACCTTTCCAATCCACCCGAAAATTTCCTGCAGGAACCACGTTAAAGGGGGAAAAGCCACAGGAGACAGGCTCTGAGAGAAAGGCTTTGATCCAGAGGACTAATAGGTCTTGCGTGGTTGGACAAGATGATCTTTGAGGTCCCTTCCAACCTAGAAGATTCTGGGATTCTGTCCCCCAAACGTCCCATGGAGCCAAACGACACCAACCTTCCCTTCTGCAGCTGCAGGACCTTGTCCTTCAGGGACTCGTCCAGCTGGTCGAGGAACGGTGTGATATCAACAGGTTCCTCCACGATGGTCTCCTTGATGGGATGAAACCTGAACTCCCTCTTCTTCCCTGCAACGCAGAAAGCGACGGTGGAACCGTCTTGTTTCCCCAACCAGCAACGTCTAAGAAGCACCAGAGGCAAAGCCTGTCCTTGTTGGGGGCTGTGGAGGACAGTGGCCACCCCAGGACACCCAACGTGTCCCCAGTGTGTGGGTCCAGCCTCAGATCTTGCCTTCACCCTTTGGAGTCGGGTCCAGGTGTGACAGGGAGAGGGAAGGTGGGATGGGATCCAAATGAAGGGGTGTCCCCACGCTCGTGGTTCCCCTTCAGTTTGGTTTCCAAACCCCATGGCTCTGCTTGACCCTTCAACACGCTCAAACGGAGCCACCTTGGGTGTCTCTTTGGGACTCTGGGACTGAGATACCCCCATGGCTTTTCTACACCCTTATCCTCATCCTCAGGGCTCGTTCCAAGGCCACAAAAACCAAATTCAGAAGCTCCAGGGCCAAGGCAGAAGCGCTCTGGAAGAAGCTGCCCCCAAAGGGATGGGACAAGGTGGTTGATCCCCTTCAAAAGTCCTCTCCGCACGTGGTTTTGGAGCCTGTGTCCCTCTTGGTGGCTCCAAGGAGCTGGCAGGGCTCGACGGGACAACTAAAACAGTGCTACAGCACAGTGTCACGTCCTGTCCCCCATCCTGGTCCCCAGTGCAGGGGTAGCCCCTCCAGCACGGCAGGAAGCCCCCAAGAGTCCGGCCATCAAGGCCAGGAACATCTTGAGATGCCTCCAAGCTCCAGAGAGGGAGCAGAGGGGATCCTGGCACTGTCAGCCCCACATCTTTAAGAGCTTAATGAAAACCGTGTGGCTGAGCAATTAGAGGCCTGAGCTTCATTAGGGATGAGAGACATTCTGTTCCCAAACCAACCATGGGGCACAGTGTCTGCCACCCGGATTCCCAACACTGGGAACTCCTGAGGACACATGGGGTGGAGAAAACGCTACGTCTGAAGGGTCTAAAGCTCTAGGGAACAACCAGGCAAGGACAGGAAGCCCAACAGCCCTTCCCTTTGGGCACGGATTTGGGTCAGATCCGCCCAGTTTGGCTGCCAGGGACTGGGAAGCAGCAGAGCATCGGTCCCACCACCTTCCCTGGCACTGTCAGCCCCACATCTTTAAGAGCTTAATGAAAACCGTGTGGCTGAGCAATTAGAGGCCTGAGCTTCATTAGGGATGAGAGACATTCTGTTCCCAAACCAACCATGGGGCACAGTGTCTGCCACCCGGATTCCCAACACTGGGAACTCCTGAGGACACATGGGGTGGAGAAAACGCTACGTCTGAAGGGTCTAAAGCTCTAGGGAACAACCAGGCAAGGACAGGAAGCCCAACAGCCCTTCCCTTTGGGCACGGATTTGGGTCAGATCCGCCCAGTTTGGCTGCCAGGGACTGGGAAGCAGCAGAGCATCGGTCCCACCACCTTCTCCTGGAGAAGAAAACCTGGATCTCAAGAAAGAGGTGTGCCAGGAGGGCTGAAATTCCCTCTGCTCGTGGAAAAGGGGCTTTGAGGAGGGCTGTGCTTACAGCTGGTTTCGGAGGGGTCCTCCATCGGGAAGGGAAGGTGCCCCCCGAGATACCACGGGGGGCAAAATGGCGGCTCTTCACGTTGAGGCGACGCAGAAGGGCTTGAGAACATGGGCACCCAACTGGCTGCTCTCCTCACCTTTGCTGTTCAAGTCGTCTTCGTCGTCACTGAACGCGGCCTCGGCGTTGTCGTAGCAACTGTCGTCCTTTTCTGACATGTGATTGTCCATCTCCATGGAAACGGGTTCCTCGATTTTGACTGGGGGACGGGAGGGAAAGGGGGGTCATGGTGGCTCCTCGGGTGGCAGGACCCACCTCCTATGAGTCCCCTCTACCCCTAAACGGGCTCCAACAAGGAGAAAAAAGTGTTTTGAGAAGGGTCAAAGTGCTTTGAGAAGGGTCAAAGTGCTTTGAGAAGGGACCAAAAAAAAGACTCTGGGCAAGTGATGGACCCCAGAAAACTCAAGCTGGAGATGGGCAATCCCAGTGACTCCATTCAACCACCCCCACCCAATGGCCAAGTGTGGACCATTCTCCACCTGAAGAAGCTTCGTGCTTCACCCCTCGCCCAGGCCAAGAGCAGAACCCGAGTCCCCGAGCAGAGAAAAAGCTCCTCCAGCTCCACGAGGAGCCCGGGGAAGAGCAGGGTTTGAGGGTTGGGTGGGTCCCTTCAGCTGGAGCAACTGGTGCCAGAAGAAAAGCAGATGGGCTTCCAGTCCTTGGGCAGGTCTGGCCAAGCAGCAGAGCTTCTCCCGTTAAATACAAGGTCAGACACGCTTGCTCTTCGTTTAACCTAATTACATTCATCAATTAACCTCCAGAGAAGAAAGGCTAAGTAGCCTCTCTGGAGCAGGGAGAGAAATAATGGGCATCTTCAGCGCAGAGCAAGGCTCAGATGAAGGGACACCAACAACCACCCATAAAGAGGAGCACCCAGAGCCCTCTTCTCCCCGGAGTCTGGGTCTGACCCTCCCCAAGGGCTGCTATTCCTGCAGGAAAATCAGGAAAAAGTGGGAAAGGGCCTCCCCCAGCCTCCCACCCCGCTCCCTACCTTCGATGGGGGGTGAGGGTGAACTGCAGAACTCTGGGAACTTCTCCCTCAACATGGCACGGAGCTCTTTGTCCAGCTTGGGGTTGTCGAAGAGAGGGGCCAGATGTCTGCGGCGTTGGGGGGTAGGAAGGGAAAGGGATGAGGATAAAAAACCAGGACGTGGTGTCCTGCTGCATCATTTCACCTCGTGGACACACGAGGAGATCCTCTTCCTCATGTCAGGGCTTCACGGCCCACGGTCCTGCTGCATCATTTCACCTCGTGGACACGTGAGGGGATCATCTCCCTCACGTCAGGGCTTCACGGCCCACGAGCTACGAGGTGCCACCTTCCTCCCTGCAGCTCCTGGGCTTCCCCCACTTGGTCACCAGAAGGAGTTTTGCCTCCTGGGAGGAGAACGTGGCTGCTGGAGCACCACGAGAGAGGCTGCTCCATCCAGCTCAGGGCTTGGGGACATTTCTAACCATCTGAAGTGGAGTTGTTGTAGGTTTCTTAACCTTTTTTTATTTCCCTTCCTTCAAGGAACAGCTCTCAGGAGAAGCCCCAGCGCCATGAAGACGCAACTATGGCTTCTTCCATGGTTCATACACAACACAAACGTTCTCTGAAGCTCTCACAGAGCTTGGAGGTCACTTTGACCAGGCTGGGGAGACCCAGGAGAACTGGTGCCCAGCAGCTGTATAAATGTATAAATTGTAGTATGTATAAATGTATAAAATGTAGTAAAATTCAGGGCTGTCTTACGCAAGGACTCGCTTCTCCACAATGTGGGTGAGAGAGTTGAAGACACCTTGTCGGACGTGAGCCTCCAGAGGGGGGTAGAAGTTGGGAATGATCTGAAAAGAGGAGAAGGACCATGGTTAGTGCCACCAAACCTTCTGCTGCCAACCATCGGGTCTGTGTCGGCCAGGACCACCTACGACCATCGAGCAGCTCCTTGGGTCACCCTTGACTCCAGCACCACATCCCAGATGCTCTTGACCAAGAGGGGAAGCAGGAGAGCTCTCCAAGATGGGATGGAATGGTTTGGGTGGGAAGGGACCTTGAAGATCATGCAGTTCCATCCAGGGACACCTACCCAACAAAGCAGAGCAAAGAATTTTTTCCTGAGATCTCACCTAAATCTGTCCTCTTTCAGTTTAAAACCCTTCCCCCTTGTCCCATCAGGCAACCTGGGCCAGGATCTCACCACCTTCATACCAAAGAAGTTCTTCCTCAGATCTCATTGAAAATCTCCCCTCTTTCAGCTTAAAACCCTTCCCCCTTGTCCCCTCCCTCATCAAGATTCCCCCCCAGCTTTCCTGGAGCCCCTTTAGGGACTGGAAGGCTGATGGGGCTGACTGGCCCATGCCTTTGGGTTCTCCACCCTGGAGAACGAGCTGGTGCATCTCCCAGGGATGAGAAAAACACGCAAGACGTTGCCTTGGGAGCTGTGAGAAGCTCCAGGGCTTCTGAGGACCATGCTCAAGAGCTGCAGGAGAAGGGGGAATAGGAGAAGGGCACCCTAAAAGCCTTCAGCTCTGTCCAAGCACAATCCTCTGCTTCTGGAGGGAGGGAGAGGACTCCTCCCTGAAATCTGGGTCATCCCAGGAACCTTCCACCTAATTCTTCTGCCAGAAACCAGGCGCTTGGAGCGGGACAGCCCGGGGACGGGAGGACACAGAGGAGGGCACGAGGGAGGAGAGTGATGCAAGTGGCTTTTCTCCTGCCACGGAAAGACCCCGCTTCCAAGAAACCCCCATCGTCCCTCCCTGGGACCAAGTTACTGGAACCAGTCACTCTTGGCACCACTTTCCCAACTCTTGGCACCGCGTTCCTAAGGACGGAGGGGCAGGAGCAGCTCCCCCAGGGAGGACTCTCCTTTGAAGTGGATGGAGATGATGGGTCCCACTTGTCCCCCCAGCTGCAGTGGAGATTCCACTTGCCCCCAGGGCACGAGACTGGGCCAAACATCTCATGAGGTACCAAAGGGACCGATTCAGAAGCTTTTTTCCTACTAATCCTCCCATTTTGGGATTTCTTTGCGGAGTTGGGAAGACTTGAAGACATGAAGGAATGACATGTGGGCCCTGGATGTATCAAGAGACCTTGAGGACCTGCCAAAGCCCTCGGTGGCTGGTTTTAAGAGGGGAATAATTTGGTTGAGTGTCTGCAGGGGGTTGTGCCTGATCCTGCTCTTGGCCCAGCAGCGAAGGGGAAAATCCCTCCTTAATTTAGGATAGGTGAGGGGGGGGTTAAAAGGGCTGCTGGAAGATAATGAGGCTGTTTCGCAATCAAGGGGCTCGGGACAGAACAGACCACTGAGGAATGTGGAAAAAAAAACCATAAAAGAAGAGGGAATAGCTTTTTTGGGGGGTTATTTTTTTGATTTTGAAGAAGGGGCAGCGAGATGATGTTATTTTCCTGCTCCAGCCTCACTGGTTCTAGGGATTCTGGCCTGTATCAGGAACAGCGTGGGGAGTAGGGCCCGAGAGGTGATTGTCCCCCTGGACTGGGCCCTGGTGAGGCCTCACCTCAAGGCCTGCATCCGGTTTTGGGGCCTTTCCCACAAAAAAGACATCGAGGTGCTGGAGCGGGGCCAGAGAAGGGCGACAAAGCTGGTGAGGGGTCTGGAGAATAAGTCTGATGAGGAGAGGCTGAGGGAGCTGGGGGGGGTCAGCCTGGAGAAGAGGAGGCTGAGGGGAGACCTTCTTGCTCTCTCCAACTCCCTGAAAGGAGGGGGTAGAGAGGTGGGGGTCGGTCTCTTTTCTCAAGTCACAGGCCATGGGACAAGAGGAGATGGCCTCAAGTTGCCCCAGGGGAGGTTCAGGCTGGATATTAGGAACAATTTTTTCCCTGAAAGGGTTCTCAGCCGTTGGAATGGGCTGCCCAGGGAGGGGGTTGAGGCCCCATCCCTGGAGGTGTTCAAAAGCCGGGTTGATGTAGTGCTGGGAGGTCTGGTTTAGTGATGATGCTCCTTGTTTGTTGTGGGGGGGTCTATTTTTGTCAGTCAGGTTGACGGTTGGACAAGCGGATCTTTAAGGTCGCTTCCAACCTAGAAGATTCTGGGATTCTGTGATTCATGAAATTTGAAGATTCTGTGATTCTGTGATTCATGAAATTCCCTTCCTGCTGGACGGAGAGGCAGGGGGTGGTTGTCCCAATACTCTCTGGGGAGTGAAGAGACCTGTGTTCCCTGAGCCAGTGTGACAATTCCTGCCCTCAGGCAGAGAGCCAGGAGTTGGGAAGCTTCACTGCTTGGGCTGCTCTGGGCTTTTCCTGGGAGAGGAGGAAAAACAGAGGAGGAAAAACACCGACCTACGTTGTGGGGAGCTCCTGGAGGAGAGACCGGATGAAGGACCGGGCTGGAATTCCTAAGGGACCATCTCCTGGATGGAGAATTTCCACTCCCCTGCACCACAGAGAAGCCCCTGGGGCTAAAACAAGCCCCCAGGGCTGAAACAAGCCCCCCAGGGCTGAAACAAGCCCCCCATAGGGCTAAAAGAAGCCCTCCAGGGCTAAAAGAAGCCCCCCCCCTAGAGCAACCAGCTCTCTTTTGGTGCCAACAGATGAAAATGCTGCTCTTTCCTTCTACACCGTCCTCCTTTGACCCTCCTGAGGGTTTTTCTGGGTCCCACTGGTGGCAGAGGGACAGTGTGGCCCCAAAATTCATTCGTCAAGGCCAGAAATTCCCCGGAGAGAGAAGGGGGGGGGAGATGGGGGGTGGGGGGCTCACCCGGCACATGAAATCCAGCAGCGTGGCGGTGATGGCAGGGTGAGGCTTCATGGAGTGATGCATCACCAGAATGGCAGGCTCTGGAAGGAGAAAGAGTCCTGAGACCCCCCCAGAGATGCCCACACCCCCTGTGCCCCCCACATTTTTCCCTGCAGACCCAGCCTTTTGCCCCCGGAGAGCAGAGGGAACCCCCTTCTTTTGGCTTGAACACACTATTGTCCTCATCCTACTCCTAAATAAGGCTTCAAACCATGGCCAGATGCAACTTCCCCACAGGCAGGAGCTCCCAGTTGTGCCCCCAGTTGTACCAGTCCCTCCCTGGGGACAGGGAGAGATGCTCTGGGACCAGCCCAGGATCTCAAGGAAGACTTTTTGCTGCTGCCACAGGTATGAAACCCACAAAACCAGCAAATCCCAGGAGTTCAGATCAGGGGAAGGAACTGAAGCCCTTTGGAGATGAATCTGTTGGGCTTTTCCCCACCAGATCCCACTTTTCCTCTACTCTGGAAAGCGTTCACCCCTTCCCATTCAGAGAAACTTCCCCCCCCCAGCTCCCCGTGAGGTACCTATATTCATGATGCTGTCCTTCTCAGGGTTGAAGAAGAGCCAGTCGTAAAATAGGGCCAGTTTGGCATTTGAAGCAGCAACGTTGGACTGGAGAAGGAAAAAAAAACCCCAAATCCCAATAAATTGGCTTATAAATCCAGTGCTGAGCCTCCAGCCCCTCTCAAACCCCACACTCCAGGCTCTGCTGCAGCAAGGAACTGGGGAACCACACTCTTCCCACCAAGAAGATGGGGCAGAGCTGGTGAACCCCCCCCCAGGGACCCACTGCTGCTGTGAAAAAGTGAGTTTTCAGAGTGGGGGAACACAAATTCTTGACCAAATCTGCCTGTTTTGGAAGGGGATCCCACCAGGGCAGCACCCAGAGGGGGCACCCTGGAATGGGAGACACAAGCCGCGTGGCTACAAGCCTGAATCATGTCTAATTTGGCTCCTCACGTCCCTTGGTGTTATTTATGACGTGTTTATGGGCAACAGCAACAGTTCCCTCCACAGCTTCTGGGTGGGACAAGGGACAACAGCCCGGGAGGGGAGAGGGGAAGCCAGGAGGCTGGAACGAAGCATCTCCTGCACCCCACAGGGACAGGGGGGGCCCCACGCCTTGTAGAAGGGCCCTAAACCTAAATCATAAATCAGGCTTGACAAGGCGAACGTGAGAAGGTGAGGTTTTTGGAGGGAAAGCAGATCCCAAAGGACCCAACGTGCAGCAGAGCCAGGAGTAAAATCCAGAGCACGTAAAGGCTGACGTCCTAATGGCTGCTCCGCAACTCCCTCCTTCAGCCCAGCCAGCAAATACCTCATCCCAGCCTCTGGAATGGTTTGGGTGGGAAAGGACCTTGAAGATCATCTAGTTCCATGCACAGGGGCACCTCCCACCAGCCCAGGTTGCTCCAAGCCCCCTCCAACCTGCCCTTGAACCCCTCCAGGGATGGGGCAGCCACAGCTTCTCGGGGCAACCTGGGCCAGGCTCTCACCACCCTCAAAATAAGGAATTCCTTCCCAAAATCTAACCTCAATCTCTCCTTTTTCACCTTAAAACCCTTCCCCCTCATCCCATTGTTCCCCTCCCTCATCAAGAGTCCCCCCCCAGCTTTCCTGGAGCCCCTTGAGGGACTGGAAGGGGCTCCAAGGTCTTGCTGGAGCCTTTTCTTCTCCAGGCTGAATCACAGAATGGTTTGGGTTGGCAGGGACCTTAAAGATCACCCAGTGCCACCCCCTGCCCCGGACAGGGCCACCTCCCACCAGCCCAGGTTGCTCCAAGCCCCCTCCAACCTGCCCTTGAACCCCTCCAGGGATGGGGCAGCCACAGCTTCTCGGGGCAACCTGGGCCAGGCTCTCACCACCCTCAAAATAAGGAATTGCTTCCCAAAATCTAACCTCAATCTCCCCTTTTTCAGCTTAAAACCCTCCCTCCTCATCCTATTGCTCTCCTCCCTGATCCAGAGTCCCCCCCCAGCTTTCCTGGAGCCCCTTGAGGGACTGGAAGGGGCTCCAAGGTCTTCCTGGAGCCTTATCTTCTCCAGGTTGATCCCCCCCAACCTTCTCAGCCTGTCCTCACGGCAGAGGTTGCCATCAGCAGGTCACCCCCTTGCCCTTGCGACGGAGGGGACTGGGTGGACCACGAAGATGACCGGTTTTTGGGGTGGTGGTGGAGGATGTCTCACCGTGCAGGTGGTCAACAACCACCCGATGATGGCCCAGCGCGGGAGGATGTCGGAGCTGAGCACCTCGTTGGAAGGATGGACCACCCCACAGATGTAGCGGATGAGGTCGCAGCGCAGGGACTGGCTGTCCGGGGTGGACAGGTATTGTCTTTGAAACCAGTCCTGGTACCGTTTCTGCTGGCCAAACCGGACCTGATGGGAAGGGGAAAAACAGGAGGTTTTGCCCCAAATTTCACAAAGAAGCTGCTGGGACCAGGGTTGGAATCCTCCCAGCTGCCTCTTGGGGCAAATTCTGCTTCTCACCCCGCTCCCCGACACCCCGGGGCTGGTGGCATCTTGGGAGAAAAGACCAAGGAAGCAAAAAAGGGCCATTTGTGTGGAGTTTAGATGTTGGGATGTCCTCAGCAGAGCGGAGGGGACCGAATGCCCCACTGTGTGGGGCACAGACGGCTCCGTGTGGGGCACAGACGGCTCCGTGTGGGGCACAGACGGCCCTGGGGAAGCTTGAGCTCCTGGGCCCCAATGTGAGAGCACCAGATAAGAGTTAACCCCCCCAGCCCCTCTGGAATAACGGCCACCGCTCCGATAACCCACCACAGAGACAAGCACTCGCCCTGGGAAGCCACCATCCAGCAGCCAACCTTCTCCTGAAAAGCCCTTTTTGGGTTTTTTAATAAAAGGGGATGCACCTTGGGCCCGTGGACATCAATTTTGGAGCTTCTCCCTCTTCCTGTTCCCCCTCAGACTCCAGAAGCAACAAACACTCGCACCAGTAAAGCTCTGCCCTCCCTCCCCGTGCCCCTGGTGCCACCATGGGAATGGGGCAGGGATGTGTGGCTTCCTCCTCCTCATCCTCCTCCTCCCTGGCGATGGGACAGGACCCTCCCTGGGGTGAGCAGGAGGGAATTACCCGGGAGGTCATGAAGAGCAGCTTGGTTTCCATGTCGGGAGTGAGGCGACAGGCCAGGAATTTGCGAGAAGTTCGCGACTGGAGGAGCTGGAGGACACCTGGGGAGAGACAAAAGAAAGCTGGGCAGGATTTGGGGGTGTTGGTGGCCTGTGGGCTGAACAGGAACCAGCAGTGTGCCCAGGTGGCCAAGAAAGCCACCAGCATCCTGGCCTGGATCAGGAACAGCGTGGGGAGTAGGCCCCGAGAGGTGATCGTCCCCCTGGACTGGGCCCTGGTGAGGCCTCACCTCAAGGCCTGCATCCAGTTTTGGGCCCCCTACCACAAAAAAGACATTGAGGTGCTGGAGCGGGTCCAGAGAAATGGCGACAAAGCTGGTGAGGGGTCTGGAGAATAAGTCTGATGAGGAGAGGCTGAGGGAGCTGGGGGTGTTCAGCCTGGAGAAGAGGAGGCTGAGGGGAGACCTTCTTGCTCTCTCCAACTCCCTGAAAGGAGGGTGTAGAGAGGTGGGGGTCGGTCTCTTTTCTCAAGTCACAGGCCATGGGACAAGAGGAGATGGCCTCAAGTTGCCCCAGGGGAGGTTCAGGCTGGATATTAGGAAACATTTTTTCCCTGAAAGGGTTCTCAGCCCTTGGACTGGGCTGCCCAGGGAGGTGGTTGAGGCCCCATCCCTGGAGGTGTTCAAAAGCCGGGTTGATGTAGTGCTGGGAGGTCTGGTTTAGTGATGATGCTCCTTATTTGTTGTGTGGGTGACTATTTTTGTCAGTCAGGTTGATGGTTGGACAAGATGATCTTGAAGGTCCCTTCCAACCTAGAAGATTCTGGGATTCTGTGATCTACCAGCACCTGCAGGGCCTGAGGTCTCACTGAATTTTCACTGAATTTTTTTAGAGTTGGAAGGGACTATCCAGTCCAACTCCCCTGCTGAAGCAAAATTGCCCAGAGCATGTTACTCAGAAGCATCCAGGAAGGTCTTGAAGGTCTCCAGAGAAGGGGACTCCACTCTGTGTTTTACTTTAGAGGGGCTGTAAGAGCCTGTTTCCTCTAACACCTGGGTCAGACGGGGTGTGCAGGGCAAAAATCACCTGCCCTGCACGATTTTTGCTCCAATTCACCTTGGAATGGGCCCAACAGTGTGTGTGAAGTTGCCCGTGGCTAGTGGGGCTCTGGCAGAGGTTGCCCCCCCTGTGTGTGGGCAGGAGAGAGTTGGGGAGCCCTTGGACCTTCTCCTTTACCTGTGAACTGGGCGCTGAGGACCTGGGGGTTGTGGATGATGTCCTTCCAGAGCTGCTCGAACTCGGGGATCCTGGCCACGTTCTGCAGCAGCCGCACGAGGTCCCGGCCGATCATGAAACAGTCCATGAACTGGGGAAAGGAGAGGGGGGGGAATAAATCTAATTTACATTTACCTGGTCCTCAGCAGGAGGAGGGGGAGAAGGTA